GGGAGAGATAGTCAAGAAGACCAGTGTGCCTGGAGACCACCGAGAGGGAAGGGGAGAGGGACTTGAAGTTGGTAGCGCAGACTCTCCTGTTCCCTGAAGCTGTTATTCCTGTGAAGCTGACACAGTCCTGCCCCTGGATCCCTGGGTCTGCCACCCAAGGCTACGGCTTTGCCAACAGGCAGGATGACTGATTACTCATTTATACGATGCACTGTGTTGTGTGGATGGAGCGTAAGTAGTTACTGCTTCCAGCTGATATCTATCTTGATTGTGGAAGGGTGGCTATCAAGATCGTAGAACTTAAACATATGATCTCATTACTACTGCTAGGGATGGCACCCAGACACCCCAAGATGAGAGCTTTGAGAGAAGCACAGGCCAGGCAAGTTGGCAGGGTCTCCCTTCTATGAGAACTAAGCCCACACAAAGTCTCTGGATCCTGAGCTCAGGGCACCTGCAACACTAGACGTGGAGCCGCTCCTAATAACTCTGCTTTTGCAAATCACTTCCGACATTTTTTTGTATTTGCTTCTCTCCGTATCTCCATTCATATCTGCACACTGACCTCCTCTGTCTCACACAGAAGCTTGAGTCCTTCACTCCCTTTGCCTCACCTGCAGTGAGAGGACTTCTGGCTACAGTCCACTGACTCTGCCCAGACAGTCTGCATCTTGCAGGCCTTCAGGGGCACCCAACCTCCACAGTCTTTAAAGGATCTGTTCCCCCACCTTACAGTCATCCTCCAAGGCCCAGTTCTCAAAGTTTGCTGAACACAGGAGCATTACAGGAAGTTTTCAAAATTATTAACATTATTGATCAGGTTCTGCTCCAGACTAAATCAGTCTTTGTGGAAGATGAAAGACAGTAGTATTTTCAGAATTCCCTACCCCACTGCAGTGTGCAGCCGGGTATGAGCATCATCACGATACAGGGCTCATTTCTTTAGCTTTCACATGTGCAAATCACCTTGGCTTCTTGTTTAACTGCAGTTTCTGATTCAGTAGGTCTTGGAAAGGGCCCAGGAGTTTGGATTTTCAACTAGCTCCCATGAGATAGTGACTGCTGATCCATGGACCACAGCTTGAGTAGCAAGGTCTCCAGGCAGCCAGACTTGAGGACTGGATGATGGATGTAGGCTTCACTAGATTTCTATGTCCTAGTAAAAGTGCACTATGGAGCTCCCTTTACAGTTGGGAAGGGGCAGCTGGGCATGATGGTACCCTGCAATCCTGGCACTCTAAGAGACAGAGGCAGGAGAATTACAAATGCAAGCCCAGCCTGGGCAACTTAGCAAAGCCCTATCTCAAAATAGGAAAAAAGGAGTTAGGGATGTAGCAAAGTGTACATCCTCCTGGGTTCATTCTTCCATACTGGAAAAAATAGTTTGGAAGCGCTTGACTAGGTCAGTTAAGGCGCAAGACTTTTCGATGAAGCCATAGAACTGCTCTGTCAATGTGAAATTAGGAATCTCTACATCTAACAAATACTACCTTCTCTGTTCTGGAGATCTGAGTATACAGTATATCATAAGTGCTCGGTAAGTGGTACTTGTGCTATGTGGTTGTCAGTGTTTGTATTATTACTGGAGGACCCTCACTCCAGTTCCCAGACCAAACAAGCACATTCATTGCCAAGCCCTGATCCATCTCAGACACAACTCCATGGATCCTGTCAGTCTAAGGACACTAGGGCTCTCATTCTTTCCACTGATTTTGCAGACGCTGTAGCTAGACTCTCATAGCCTGGTCTTGGTCAATAGTGTTTGCTATGAATGGGGACCTGTTTAAATGTTCACTTGGTTTAACTCATGATATTCTTAACACAACTCTAAGCCTTTGAAGGTAGTAATCTCTGAGTGGCAGGATTGTACACACAGTAGATGATGGTGCCAAGAAAAACTAAGCCCACGATTTTCCAGTGCTTCTCAAATGACAACTGCAAAGTGATTTCTCAAAGATGCAGATGAGGTGGCCAAAGATCCTGCACATCTCACAAACTCCAGACAACAGTAATGCAGCAGGTTCAGACAGCACTTCGAAAAGCCAAGCAGCCCACGTGCATTAGTAGATCCTGGTATTTCTGGACCTCTCTCTTAACAGCACCCCCCACACACTGAATACTCCTACTGCTTTACGACAATTGGTCGTTGGTTTATTTGATAAGTGGCAAAAATCACAGTAAATTTCCACTTTGAACGTTTACCCAAAGTCCTATAAATTTCTACTCAAATTGCAATACTTTGAGACAAAAGGTATCAGGTATTTGGAAAAGCACAATTTTTGTTGTAAGCTAGAGAAGATATAGCATGTTGTGAAATTGTTTTTATATTTTGGTTTCATGACTGCGAATGTTTTCTGGGCCAGAGAAACCATTTCCATCTCTAAAAGCAGGATGAAGAGCTACGATTTGACAAATACAGGAAAGGATCCCTTGAAACACAGAAGTGAATCGTGTTAACTGTGAAACCTCCATTCTCAGCTCAGTACAAGACAGGATGTGTATGGAAATTATAAGAAATGACAAAACTTACTGCCCAGAGAAGGGTACTTAAGAGCAAATCATGACTGCCCATTTATTCAGGCTGGATTCAGTAGCTGGAAACTAGCTCGGTTGTAAGACACAAAAGCTGAATACAGAAGTGAAAATACACAGTCAGAGGTGCTTTTGAGGTCAGAGTGACCTGAAGCTCCAGAGTCACAGGCCAAGCTCTGGGGGAGACTGACTCCAAGTGATGAATCTTTGGGAAAACAAAAAACACCCTCCTCAAAACTGGTAATGATGCAAGGTTAGACTAAACAATGACCAATGATTATAAAGATCAGTTAAAATGTTAGTCTTCATGCAAATTTCAGAACCCAGCAATTCTTACACTTTCTTAATTAAGGAAAGTTTTAAATGCCTTCCTCCATTCGCTGATCACACCTACTCCCCTTCAATTAAATCATGGCCTCTGGGTAAGAGCTCCAGGCTCCCTTCACTTGTAAAGCTCCCCAGTGATTTTAATGTTCAATCAAGTTGGAGAATCATGGGCATTCAAAGTTGGCACTCAAATATGAAGGAATCCACTCATTCTTCCCCCTAGCCACATGTTAGAATCCCTTTGTGGAGATTTTTGGAAAAAATAGTGATGCTCAAGCCCATTCCTAGAAATTCTAGTTAATCCGTGAAGCATTTTTAAGATGACCCCCTAGATGACCACACCTCCAGGTGCATTCTCCACGATTCTGTATTGCTCCCACTTAAAGGATCCAGTATGTTACAGATGAAAATGCATCTTAGACTTCAAAGGGAAATTCCTCATTTTACCTTTAAATCAGGATGTCTAACTTTGCAGAGAGGGTCCCTTAAATCCTATAACAACTGTTGGATGACTAGATACATTCGTTTGTGTATATACATATGGATCTTCAGGGGAGAATGTCCTTAGCTTTTGTAAATGTTCAAAAGAATTAAAACTGTATTAAAGGCAAATGTGATTTTATAATTTAAGAAAGTTAAATAATGAATGGGAAATAAAATTGATCTCAGCAGCAAGTCTGGAGCTGAACACCCATATGCCACTTAGTGATTGTACATCTTCATTGCAAGTTAAGTTTAACCTCATTGCCCACCTTTGAAAACCTGAGAAGCACTGGATATGAACTCCCCAAGAGACAACCCCAATGTACAGCAGAAGCCTGGGAAGCGGGGTCAGTACTGGGCTTCCTGGTAAGGTTGCACTGGGATGCGATTTATCAGGGTGTGAGAACACTATCTGCTAAGGTTTTTGCCTTCGTGGCCCGACTGGGTAAGGAAGGATATTATGGTTTTCTAACTCTGATTGTTGTTAACTATTTGCCTTGATTTAAATCCCAGTTTTGTCTCTTACTAATCATGTGACCTTGGGAAAGTTACTTAACCTTTTGACACTATAAAGTGTTGGTAATATAAGCACTTTTAAGACTGTCGTTAAGAATAAATAATAAAGTAAATGTAAAGTGCTCAGCATGATGTTCAGCAAAGAGTAAATACGTACATTATATTACTGCTACTGCTGATGTTTTTCTTATTATTAACATCATCACGACCCTGCTCAAGTTACTAGACATCCTGGAGCTTCACTTACAGATCTACAAGACAAAAATAAGTCCAGCCCAATTTCTTTCATAGTGTTATAGTGATGACCAAGTTAAAAAGTAGGCAGTGCATCAACCGTTCACATTTCACAGGTTCTGCAGGATTCAACCAACCACAGAATTCAACCCAACAGACTTCAACTACAAAATATTCAGGATAATTACATTTGTACTCAACTACTACAGACACTATTCCTTAAACAATACTGCATAGCAACTATTTACAAACATTCCCATTATGTTAGATATTACAAATACCTAGAGATGATTTAAGGCATGCAGGAGGGTATGTGCCAGTTATATGCCAACACCATGCCACTGCATAAAAAGGACTTGAGCATCCTCAGGAGTCCTGGAACCAATTCTTCCACCCACATCAGGCACAATTTATATCATCACTGTTATATGACAATTCATCATATATCCAAGATATTTATAGCCCACAGAAAATGGTGGCCCTAAAATACAGACAACATTCCCACCCTCAAGAAGTACTCTGAGATTCCAACAGTTGAAAAGATGCTATGCCTGAGTGCAAGCTTTTTTGGTTATATACCCAGCATCCCAGTCAGCCCAGACTTTCCACCACCCAGGCGAATGGATGGCTCTACTCCACATGCTGCCGCACCCTATCTCTCAGAAAACAGAGTTAAACCAGGCTCTCAGTAAGTCACAGGCATCCCAAAGCATCAGCAGCCCTCATCCAGCCAAGACACTGACCACCAATGGTCCCTCTTCTACCATAACCTTCCAAGGAAAAGTCCCCAGCCCAGCAGGACGATCCTCATTACACAGCACTCCACAATCTGGCCCACCAGAGAAGAAAAATCACTGAAACCTTCCAACAATTTCAGCAAAGATTCTAGGTGATCAGCATACACTTACCTGGAGTCTGCTTGGCTGTACGCACAGGGGTGTAGTGGTTTTTGGAGGAGGATCTGACCGGCGTGTTATCTTTGGGAGAGGTATCAATAGCCGAGATAGTTTCTCTTTCACAGTGTGCTATAGGGATAGGTCCCTGTTGTCTTAAGATGTCAGCCAGAGCCCTAAAGAAGGAAGATATCACACAGTGAGTCTCATGTGCACAATCACAGAGGGAAATAGCTCACTTTCGTAGGTCCTTTAGTCCTGAACCTAGGGAAAGAGACACAGATGTGACTGTCAGTGCTCAATTTCCACGGCCTTATCTGGTGCAAGGCTCAGTGGGTAGGTTACCCTGCCTGGAGGTACAAATGCTTAAAAGTATGAGATTATAATTTTTCTGAAATTTATTCAACATCAGCAAACTCTGAGCTCCTTCAAAATACTGGTTCCCCAAATATGCACCTACACCATCCAGAATGACCAGTGACTGATCAGTGAAGTAGCATGTTGGAAAAGAGTTGACACCACTGGCTTCACATGCAGCAGTAGGATACTAACTATCAGGGGGACCAGCCTCTTCTGCACACATGGAGTGGGATGTCCTAGGTACTGGTGACCCAAATAAGTACAACACACGCCTCCCTCCAGGGACTTGGTGACACAGAGAAAGCAGGTTTCATGAATTCAACTCCTGCCTTCAACAACCAAACATACATTTCTTGACGATTTGCAAGAACAGAGGTACATAGGACCCCATTCCTGTCCGCCAAAAATTCACAATTGCTCTCCACTTAGTTTCAAACAGGACTCCCCAGTGGATGACACAAGAGATAGCCACTGGTCATGAGAACATAGCAGGAGCATGAAGGGATTCAGACAAGCCAAAAAGACCACATCTGGATAATGTCCCTGGGTCCTGCTATCCCTGTTTTGAACCAGCGGGGCAAAGACTCTTGCATGTGCTCAGGTTGTCCCTGAGGAATGGGGTGGGCGAGGTGGCATAACTCCAGGCCTCTCGGAGCCAGCCCTGCCCACTCCACACTTCCTTGGCATCCTAGCCCAGCTCCAGAACTCAATTCTCTCAGAAACTGACAACCCCAGCATATCTGAGAGTGAATGGTTTCCTCCCATTATGCCTCCTGCGACATGCAGAACCTTCCTAGAAGAGCATCACGCTGGCAATCTTATCATTTAGTGGCATTTATATAGCAATTTCAGATTTTCAAATGCTTTCCCCTCACTGGCTTTCTTTTCTCTCAGCCTGTCAAGGAAAGAAGAGACACACGTCACCACCCCCATTCACCTCCACGGACCTAACAGGCAGAACACAGACCCTCACATTCAAGAAAAAGAAATAGGGAAGGTCTCAGTCCGGGGATTCCTCAGTCAAATGAGACCAAGGAACAATGAAAAAGCCTTGGCCTAGAAGGTCAAGAGTTTTAGGTTTGAATCTCAGTGATTAGCCATGAATCTTTGGGCAGATATGTTAACCTCTGAAGCTGAAATGTAATCATTTCTTCCCCACTGGGAAAACAAAAGGTTAAATTAACACGCCCTCTAAGACCCCTCTGATTTCAACATTCCACAACTTGGCTTTGCATACCTTTTTAACCTCATATTCATGCAAGACTCCTAGATTCATTTATCCTTCTGATGATCAAAGACTGTTCCCTACCATTTTTCTGTGATAAGAAAATGGTGAGTTATAAGTTATAATAGCTATATAGGCCAACAGAATAGAAATGAAAGTCCCAAAATAAATTCATACATCTATGGCCACTTCACGTTTGATAATAGTGCCGAGATTATTCATTGGAAAAAGACACTTTTCTTTAAAAAAAAAAAAATGGTCCTCAAACTAATAGTTTTCCACACATAAAACAGTAAAGTAAAGCTCTTATCCCACATTATATACCTAAAAACTAATTCAAAATGGGTCATATATCTAAATATTAGTCCTGGAGCTATAAAACTCTTAAAAGAAATTACAGGAATAAATCATTGTGACTTCTCATATTTAGCGATGGTTTCTTAGATATAACATCAAAAACACAAGAAACAAAAGAAAAAAACAGATAAAAACATTTGTGCATCAGAGGGTATCATCAAGAAAATGAAAGACAATTCACAGAAAGGAGAAAACATTTGCAAGACCCAAACCTGATGAAAGACTTGTATCCCAAATATATAGAAAGAAATCTTACAACTCAAGAATTTCGAAAAACCGAGTATCTCAATTTTAGAATGGGCAAAGCATTTAAAGAGACATCTCTCTAAAGAAAATAAACACGAACAGTAATAATTACAGTATGTTAAGCACTAGGGAAATACAAATGAAAATCACGCTGAATGCCAGTCCCATTCATACACCCATGATAGCTACAAATAAAAGACAATAGAAGTGTTGACCACGATTTAGAGAAACAGGAGTCTTCACACTCTGCTAATGGGAATTTAAAATAGTGCAGCTCCTTAAGAAAACAATTTAACAATTCCTCAAGATGTTAAACCTACTGAATATACAACCCAGTGACTCTACTGCCAAGTACTCTTAAGAAAAATGAAAATATAACTACATAAAACTTTATGTAGGTTCATGGCCGAAGTATTAGTAAGAGCCAAAGAGTGGAAACAAGCTCAATGCTCATCAGTTGAATGGATCAACAAAATGTGAATGTATCTGCACCGCAGAATTATTCTTAAAAGGAAGTAAAAACACACGAGATACCATGGAAGAAACCACACTAAGGTTTGAAAATACCACACTAAGGAAAAGACGCCAGTCACGAAAGCCTACATTTGTATTAAATGTCCAGTTCATTAAATCTGTAGACACAGAAAGCAGACACGTGGTTACCCCAGGACTAGGAGAATGCTGCATGAGGAAAAACTTATTGCAGCTAGCAGCATCTCAATTGTTATTACTCAAGAAAGAGGCTCTGCGCCATGCTGGAGATTTAGCTCAGCGGCATAAGCATCAGCTTTGCAAGCATGTGGTTCATGAGTTTGATCCCCGGTACAAAAAAAAAAGGGCTCCATGCCATCCAAGTTCTAACACAGACTGCTACTTCCCTGGTGCACATGAAGAAGAATGGAATTATGTGATTAAATCCATTCCCTTTGATTAGTCAAGAGCAAGTCTAATCAGTGATTCCCAACTAGGGTGATTATGTACCCCCTCCTGGAATATTTGGCAGTATCTGGAGACAATTTTGGTTGCCACATCTATAGAGGTGGTCCTGGCACCTGGTGAGTACAGACAGGGGATGCTGTTCGACTTCCTACGAGGCACAGGATGCTCCTGGGGCGAAGAATATCAGGTCCAAAATATCAATGGCAGTAAGGATGACAAACCTTGACTGACAATTACTTCATAACCAAGGACTTCATCCTCAAGGCATGGGCTTCATCCTCAAGGCCAGACTGCCTTCCTGAAGACCAGCAAATTCAGTGCTTGCTGCTGGACAAGAAGTAGTGTCTCTGACTTACAGCACAGAATGAAAGGACATAACGTGGCAGAAGGGACTTTGGATGCCCAGTATTCTGTGCTGTGCCAGCTAGCAGACCCAAGGGGGAGGGGACCATACAGAAAACTGTTTCTAAATCCCCCCCATGTGTTGTCCCACTGAGGAGCATGATAACCAGAGAAATGCCTCTGAGCCATGCCCCCAAGAGCCAGCCCTTCCCAGTGACCTCTGGCAACGGGAAAGAGCACCCGGATCCCAGACTCTGTGGCCTTAGGAGCTGCTGTGCCCCGTTCCCCTCCCATCGCCTCGGCTCAGAAACCTCCCTCTCTGCTCTGGTTCTTCGACACCTTCCATCCTTTGCTCTCCAGGGTGCTCAATGAATATTATTCTAATTCTGAAATGCACAACCCTGGTCTCACCTAATTAATTTGGATCTGCTAGAGGAAATGGGTTAAGGTCTGAGCTACTTTCCAACCACAGGAAAGAAAATTGGTCATTGAGGGACAAACAGATTTTTTTAACTGTGGGTAGGGCACCAGCTTTGGGGGGCTGATAGGATGGATGGCTGACAGACAGACAATGACAAGACAGAGAGGAGAGAGATGCAGAGGAAGAGAGGGAGAGGAAGAGAGACAGAGACAGAGAGACAAAGAAGAAAGGAAAGGAATAAAACAGAAGACAGAGATAGAGACAGTGGAAAAGACACAGAGGGACAAAGAGAGGAAGAAAGAGAGAGAATGAACTCCTAGAAGAAAGAGAAAAGAAAGAGACACGGCAGACCAGAAGCCAGAGAGGGAAGGTGATGAGGTCAGACAGAGACAAACAAACAGAAAGTGGAAAACAAAAACAAGAAACTGAGTCAAAGAGAAATTCGATTAGAAAGCAGTCCAGAAGACAGAGACATTCACAGACGGGAGAGAGGCCCAGAGAAAGATGTTCAGAGGAAAAGAAATTCAGAGGGAGACACTGTGAGCCAGCCCAGTGCCCAGGAGCTGGCCCACCTCAGTGGTGACAACTACAGAGCTCTCATTCAAGAATCCGAAGGGAAGACCCTCTCCACCTCAAGCCCCTTCCCTGTGGGCCGCTTCCGCTGTGGTACCTGATCTATCATACACAAGAATTCTTCTGCCTGAGTCATCTGAACTCTTGCTCAAGGGACACTGCTCCTTCTGATATAAGGTGATGAGTGGGGAAGATCAGTTAATTGGGCAGCAAATCCAAGAAGGGAAAACAGTTATCCTGATCATTCAGGTTAGGCAAGTCTGTCTTCTTCAGTCTTCAGTCTTGTGTAACAATCATCTGGGTAATGAAAATACCGTTTACATTTGAACAGCACTCACTAATTTCTAAATGTGATCACCTGCTGCGCCCTACACAATTCCTTCTAATCTCGGTGACCTCTGCAGCAATTTTTACCCTAATTCTTAAAAAGGAACTGGGGTTCAGAACAGCTTCAGCACTTGAACCTGATGGGACAGAAGTTTAAATTTAGAGCTCTGATTTGAGCTGGAGCATCCTCATGTTACTGCTTCTTACATACATCTCATCTTCCTACAAATCTTGAGCTTTAATGAATCTTTCTGGTCTCTCCAGCCGGGCTGCTAATTTAGCAAATACCAGTTAATACTTGAACATAGAGAAACAATTAGTAAATTAGTAAATAAGTCATTAGTAAAAATTAGTAAATAAGTCATTCAGGTTAAGATCCATTATTT